ATGACGTCATTATCATTACCAATTTGCTTAATTATTCATTTAAATAAAACCATGCCTGTATGTAAATTGCAAAAGACAACTAACTAAAATACCTCATTAATAGAACTAACAGATATATGTCTCTAGTCACGAAACTACAACACGTAGACCGTACCAACTAGTAGTTTATACAACTCAAGCTAAAAGTACTAACAAAATAGTGGCATGGAAAACTCCCATGCTCACCCAAATAAGGCAACAAAGCCCAACATAAGTCTCAACTCAATAACCATAAATGACAGAAAACATAAACAGCATCCAATCCAGTCATGCCATCATAAATATAACAGCAATAATCATCAACTAAGCTCTGGCCTCCGTCCGCCAGAGGCATCAATCCCCATACTACCTGAACCTGAAATAAGCATTCCCCAAACGTGGGGTGAGATCTCTAAACAAGAAATCTCAGTAAGACAAGGGGTCCTCAAGAATCTTCCACCCCAAGCTCACTTACATGTGCAATATAAGTTCTAAAAGAAGTATTTCAATATAAGTTCCAAAATCAGTGCAATGCAACAAATATTCATGTCATGTGTGTTATAACAATTCTACTGATCAGAGAAGTGCAGGAATACGTCTATTACCCATACAGTACCAGCCTATGTTGTATCAGCCCATGTTGTACCCACCCCAAAGGACCACCCCATGGCTTCCCTTTAAGGCAAACACCACATAAATTTCATACAACAATTGCACTTAACAGCTCCATAGCATTTCAATAAAACAGTACATGAAAACACATCATGCATATAACCATCCCCCATGGGACATAGTGGAACAAACAATAGCTAAATCGAGGACACGAAAGCTTACCTTGTAAGCTAGCTATCCAAACCAAGAGTCCACACAAGCTCAAGGCCCACAAACAGCACAATCACAATCTGTTCATACCATAATTAATCATCAATAATCATAGCTCAGATTACATTAAGTGATTAAGTCTTTCTTACTCGTTTTAACTCATTACATGTTGTTTCTGCAGGAAGTATTCGAATACTTCACGAGTAGTATTCGAATACTCCAGCTCTCCACAAAGTATTCGATTACTTTCATTTAAGTATTCGAATACCACAAGGTATCCGAATACTTTTTCTCCCAGTATCTGAATACCACAGTATCCGAATCCTAAACCTCACTGTATTCGAATACTTTTCAGTATTCGAATACTTCTTCAAAGGTATCCGAATACTTTTCTTCCCAGAAAAGTATTCCAATACTCCTGCAAGGAGTATTCGATTACCATGGACAAGTATTCGGATATTACACGAAAAATATTCGAATACTTCTCCAACAGAATGCAGAAATTCGAGCCAACTTCTGCATAACGCCAAGTTTAAGGATCCAAAAGCGATTGGGAGTCCAATGACTCCCTAAACAGATAACCACCAACATGTTATGAACCTAAAAACACATTTCTTTACTCAAATGGTTAAAGTTTCACTTATTAACCGATTAAACAAGCTTAAAACTCCAAAATGACAAAGAGGTGGTCATATATACCTCTAAGGCTTCAAAACTCCGAAAATGAGGTAACTTGGAGCTTCAAACACAGCTCCAAGGTTCTGACTTTTTCAAGATACGAAAATACAACAAAGCTAGGTCCTTTCTACTCAAAGATGGCTCCTTGAAGCCTCCAAAGACAAGGGAAAGTCTCTCACCGAGGATGAACACCAACTCAGCCCACAAAACCACTCACACAACAGCCTAAACTCAGAAAACAAGGACCTTTTACCCACACAAGGCTTGCCCTCACAACACTCTACCAAAAAGGTGAAGGAGCATAGAACAAAAGAGATCACTTTGGTGAAGTTTCAAGAGGAAGAAAGCTAAGGAATGGTGAAGAGACCCAATGGAACAGTGTATACACACACTGATCAGCCCCACTCACGTAGAAGCAAAAGAATGCCTAGGGTTTTGGGCCAAAAGTCATATATATAGCTCACTTAAAATTAAACACACAGTATTAGCGCTAATAGTTACGCTTATCGTGTTAATCTCAAACTTGAGATTCTGAACCTACTCAATTTTACAAGAATTATCATATTTTTCTTATATTTTTCGTAGCACCTTTCCGGTACGCGCTTTTCATAGCCAGTATCAGTTTCTGGCACCAGTTCTCATTATTTTAACTTGAAACTCGTTTTACAAGTCCTATATATTATTCTAGGAATTGTCATGCACTTATTATAATTTTCTGGGATACATTTTCGGTATGCATTTATACCGACTTGCGAAACCGGTATATGCGCTTTTCGTCAGAAAATCGACTTTCAACATTATTACTCACTTACTATAATTATTAAAGCCTCATAATAATTATTAGGTCAATTACGGAATTATTTCTTAATTTCACATAATTGATTAATTAATTTCCTTAATTAACGGTGCGGGTTCTTACAGCTTGCATGTCTGATCCTTTAGGCTACCCGAACCAGTAACATCATTGGTTTACCGACTTCTGGGTTGAACCGACCTGTCCGGTCCGAGTTTTACAACACTGGTTGAGATTGTCATGTATAATTTCAAATCTTGAAATTGTAATATTTTCAGGAAAATTTTTACTCTTCCTTGTACTAAACATGGGAAAATAACATTCTCAATTCCACTTTTTCAAGAATCCAAAACATCCCCACGTACCAAACACCCCCATATAGTTGCAGAATTTCTTCAAAGCCCTTACAAGGTCTATAGTATATATATATAAAATATAAAATTTTCAAAGTACTCTTTGTTTTTTAATTTTTAATCCCAAAATGACTTCGCTTTGGGACTACATTCAGATATATTTTTTTTTTTTTGTGATATATTTATAGGAAAAAATATTTCTCCTATCACAGAAAATAAATTTATCTTCTGTAGTCCCTAAACAAAGTCATTTTGGGATTAAATATTAAAAACAAAACGTATTTTGATAATTTTATATTCTTCTTTGAATCAAGAATTTTATTAAAATACTCTTTATTTTTTATTTGTAATCCAAAAATGACGTTGAACGCCATATAATAATACAAAGAAGTAACAAACAAGGGGGATAACACTGCCACAACTTACATTCTTTGTCCTTCCTAAAAATACAAACTTAATATAAATTTCGACCATGACTCTTTCACTCTTTGGTCCCCTCTTTAATCAATGCAATTCATTCTTGATTATGTATAGATTTTGGTTTTGACACGCAGATACCACCTAGACCGTTAAAATGCCATTGTGGACCAGTTGACCTGATTTATTATTCATCCCACCAAATACAAAGTAGAAAACCCCAATCTTCTATACAGGCTTTTGGGGAAGAAAAAAAAACAAATAATGCGTGTACATCATACATAATCATAACGTCATTGTAATTTTTGCTCTTAAGTCCCCATTTCAATTATGCCAATTTAGTAGCCAATAATCAGGAATACTTATTTCTCCAGCATGATTCATGTTAACTATGGTACCAATAGCATTGAAAATTCTAGGGACTTTAGTCGACATTAGTGTAATAGTCTTATCTAGATCCCTAGGAGAGAGCAATCCATTCTGTACTTGAACTTTCTTTGCCCTTCGCAATATGCGAATTCCTTACATTATGTACTTTTTTTTTTCTTTAGTAAACATTATGTACTTTTTCCCCCTCTTGCAATGTGGGAATTCATGACATTTTGCTTTGCTTGAAAATTGGTTCGTTTTCTTTACCTGAGAGACATGGTACGTCAAGGGCTTGCCTAGAAAATGATGGATACACATGGGGCCGAACTAAAGCTGTTTAACGAACCCATGTTCTAGTTTCCATAATCATGAAATAAAATCAATAATAAGAAAGAACATAACCAAATTGTAGAGTAATCCAAATATACACAATGTCTCTATTAAATGGGCCACTAAGATTTTCTACATTTGGATGCATGTAATCCTGACCCACAACAAGCTTCCACTCCCAAAAGCTTCTCTCTTTTCACACGCCTTTCGAATTCTTTTCAAGGTTTCTCTCTTTGCGTCTCTCTCCCTTTCTTGGCAGAACAAATTTCTAACCAAAATCTCCTCCTTTACAGATTGCAAAAAGCCAATGAGCCAATAAGCTTTGTACATAATAACATTACTTCCACTTTCTAAAGTATAGTGCCTTTACATTACATTTTAGAATAACCACTTGATCTTTGATTAGTTTTTGGATTTCAATTTTCTCATGCAATCGGAGAAAAAATTCTCATATTATAGACATATTTTATATGGGATTCACATCTATTAAAAAACAAAAAAAACATTGAAGAATAACTGGTTGGAGAAAACAATTCTCCTCCGAATGAAATTTTAAATGTTAATGCAAGTGTGTACTATTATGTCTATTTCACTTGCATTAGCAGTGAAAAAACTCCAACGGGGCAACGATCAATGTGGGCTAGTTGTAGTTTTGTTATAAGAACATATGCTGTGCCTTAAAGCTTAGAAGACATAGATTTTCTGCAAGGAAAAACAGGAATCACAGTGATAATTTAATAAAACATTATTAAAAAAGAAGAAGAACAAATGCTGTTTGGTATGGGTGTTAATTGAGTGTCACAATCCCTCATTGTCATTCACCACCTCTACCCCACTCATTTTCCTTTATGCCAACCTTTTTCTCCTCCTGTGGACCCCATCTTACCACCAATTCCAAAAGCCTCTCTCTATATTTTTTTAAGATGATCACAAATTTTTTTTTACAAGTAAAACATTTTGTGGAACTCGCATGTTTTAAAGAAGAAAAAAAAATTACTACACACAAAACGAATCTCTATCACATAACATAATTATTTTTCCTACAACATAACTCTTATAAAACCTTTTATTTATCCTACTGAATAAAAGACTACCAAAGCAAACACTTTGGTGTCATCTGATGTCTCATCCCCCACCCATTACATAGACAACTAGAAAGCATTCAACATCTACACAAACAGAAGCACCAGAGAGAGACTCGTACACACACACATACACAAAGAGATGGGAAATTACAGGTTCAGGTTATCAGATATGATTCCCAATGCCTGGTTTTACAAGCTGAGGGACATGGGGAGCGGAAGAAAGCAAACAACCACTCCAACAAGGAAGAAAAAACAATCTTCATCAACCTCAACAACACAATCATCAAAACCAAAGCAACCCCACCAATGCAATCCTAGAAAGTCATACTACTTTACAAGGGAGCTTAGCACAAGCAATAAATTCCACACTTCACCACCACACAACCCAAAAGTCCCAGACACCAATTCACCTGAACCACCAAGAAAATCATCCAAACAAAGAACCAGGAAAAGAAGAACAACACCAAGGAACTCTTCACCTAAGCCTCTCATCAGTAGCACATATGTATCTGCTGGTTGTAGCTGCCGCACCACCCTTGAATCTGTTTTTACTAAATCCAATTCCCCACAAGAAAACTCTTCATCTCCATTTGATAGCTCTTCTGAGTCTGAATTTCCTGACTTAGAATTCAGAACAGACCGTGTTCTTCCCACTGAGTCATTTGATGAAATGGTTTCTTTGTCCACCTCTTGTGCCTGCAGGCTAAACTCCAACAACACCAAGGACATCGTTATCGATGTGGACAAGAATTCCATACCAAGAAAAGATGATAAGCTTGATGGGTATGAAACCTTTTCACAACTTGAGCTTCCTCCAATCATAACCAAGCCTCCAAAATTCAATGACTTGCTCAGTGATGCAAAGAAGAGAGAACCAAAACCAAAACCAAAACCCAAACCCAGAACCAGAACTGCTACTACACATGAAGAACTCAACGTTCAAGGATCTCTCAAGGTTAAAATTGTGAAGGAAGAAGACACAGAACAAATCAAAGAACAGAGGAATGCCCCTGTTAGAAGATTCTCTGTGAACTCTCCAGGAGTGAAGCTTCGGATCAATTCACCGAGAATTGGTCACCGGAAGGTTCATTCTCATGGCCGGAAAAGTGTGTCGTCGACGGCCAGCTCCGGTGGCTCCCGGAGAAGCCTCTCTGATAGCTTTGCAATTGTGAAATCATCTTTCAACCCACAGAAGGATTTCAGAGAGTCAATGGTGGAGATGATTGTGGGGAACAACATCAAGACTTCAAAGGATTTGGAAGATCTTCTTGCTTGCTACCTTTCTCTCAATTCAGATGAGTATCATGACCTCATTATCAGAGTGTTCAAGCAAATATGGTTTGATTTGACTGTAACAAGGTAGAAATAAATAACCTCTCTTTGGACAAAATTCTTAAATTCAGTTTCTCAACTTGCTATTTCTCACATTAATTTTCTCTTTTTTTTATGTATGCATGTAATATATTTTGCTAAATTAAATAGATACATCACTAAGTACGTGTATTAATTGGTAAGAAATTGTTCCGGCTTAAGGAGTAATCTTGAGTTGGAATATATGGAGCGTAGCTCTATTAATAATAATGTTAAAAATTCTAAGTGTAAATGATGAAGTTTGGTATACACTAGAAATAGAACAAATAAAGACTATACATTTATTGTCATGAGGTCTTTTGTAAACTTTCTAAAGCCAACATTGAGATTCTTACAAGAGATGGAATTATGTTTCTTGTAGATACAGTTAAGAGGTGGGATCCATTAGTATAATTTTTTTTTTCCTCTTTTCACTTTCTCTCTCCCTTAATTGTGTTTGCAGAGAATCATATAACCCTTCTTTTAATTATACAAAGTTTCCAATTTTAATTCCAAAAAGCAAAATTGACTGCAGTAGCCAAAGCTAGCAATTGCACCATGTCAATGGCTTATGTAAAGAAATTGTAACTGATAATACACCATGTAATTTTCTCTGTTATGGCTTTGGTCCATAGGAAAATAAAATGGAGCTTATTAGAGAATTTTTGTCAAAAAGGGAATTCATTTATGTGCTACAGAATGCAGACTGCATACAGACTGTAGGGTCATGGGCTTGCAAACGTGTAAAATGGTTTCTACACAGAGATTGTCTATTTCCTTTCATGTGTGTGTATGCATAAAATTCGGGCATGTTGGCTTTTCTCTCATTTTATTCAAGAAACTTATTCGCTTCTGAATTTCAATACCCTCATTGACCTAAAGTGGTTTGGGAACAAGACATAGAACTGCACAAAATTGTATAAATAGTTAACACCTAGGGGACCCTCACCAGCATCATCTGCAATAACTGACAAGGCTTCTTCCATTAAACTTTGGATATTTATTTATTTATTTTTTAATACCCAAAAGAACATGCCCTTTAAGTACAAGCTCTAGATTTATTGTCTTTTGTCACAAATTTTAAAGGGCTTATGCTTATCCCTAAGCCAGACCATGCAGCCTTTAAGATCTCGCATGCTCATTTTCCACCTCAAAACACACACACACACACACACATTGAGTGAACTTTGAGAAACCTTCGTAGTTCAAAGGTGGAGGAAAGTTTTCAAAGCCGTACACTATTTTAAAAACGTAAGAACAATTTTTCTGACTATGAATATCTGAATTCAAATTGATATACAGTGCCATCTGCGTTAAACCCTATGAGTTTTTGGCATAAAAAATATGGCTCTCAAATTTCCTGAAGCTTGTCTAAAGGTGCATGTTTGATTTTCAAAAGGTAAAGTTACTTCGATTATTACAAAAGCAGATACAGACTTTAACCAAAGAAGCATAGAGGCTCTTCTAGTTACAACTTTTTCATGTGCCCTATACTTATATTAGTTTTCTGATTTTGTGGAATGAATAGTTCACACGGTCTGCTAAAGCCTAAAAGGAGGATTAACAATTTTCTTAATCTTCACTTATCTATCTCAATTGAATTGTTACCCCTTTCTATATTATGTAAAATTTTACATTAACATAAAGAAAGATTATCAACTTTAAAAAGGGTTTATGATAAAAATACATATGGACTAATAAAGAGGGAAACTTGAAAATCAAATTGAGATCACGGTTAACGGGACTATAAGGTTGGATGAGGTTGGTCAACCCTATGTGGATAATATTTTTTTTCTTGAGATTTTTATATAGATAATTAAAAAAAAAATTATTGTTTTGAATGAAATAATGTTACATAAAAATCTAGGGTAAAAAGATGCATTTTCTTAGGGACATACAACTATTATCCCACACTTGAAAAGGTAGTAGTACCGATTGATAATGACGTTGCTTTCAAGGAAAAAAGAGAAGTTGTAGCGTGACAAACCGCTCAAAAGATGAGGTAAAGCTCGAATTATTCAAACTAGTTAATCATTTTTCTGTAATTCTGGCAGGACCAACCTAGCTTTAGGATCTCACCTGTCACAGTAAAAGTTTCGGAAGTTTGCTCCCTAATATTTTCGATGGAAAATATACTCTTATGTTATAGGAGAGAATTTTTTTCTTACACATACATCAATTTTAGTGTTACTTTTTTATTCTTTTTTTCCTTTTCTATAATAAGGGAGTCTCACACATGATTATCTCTATTGCATGAGATAGTTCTCTTCTATTGCATGAGATTATTAAAGTCCATTTTAGAAAGGAGTTATTAATCTTACGTAATATAAGTATTTTATGTAGATAAAATAAAGTTGTAGAGCTCATAATTTTTTTTTTGAAAGAAAGAAATAGATACAAGTTTCTATGAGTGTGTAATATAAGATAGTTATCTTATGTGTCATAAGATAATTATTTTCCATTTTAGAAAATATTATTTTTATTGACGATAATTTTATTTCTTACATAAGTAACGTAACATAAAAAATATATGAAGCTCGTATGATATCATGTATATGAAAAGAAAAGAGAGAAAAAAATAACATATGCACCACCTATTTTTGTGTATATATATAAGATAAAATTATTTTTTATAATATGACAAACATAAATTCCAATATTTTAATTATCATGCTTATGTGAACTCCGATCCTTTTATTTTGATTAATTTCAACAAAAATATATATTTTTCGAGCTTGATTCAGTGGCGGAGCCACGTTGAAGTCAGCGGTTGCTTTGGTACTGGCTTATTTAGCCACGTTCGTTTAGCTACATTTGAAACGTAGCAAATTCTGTTTCAATTTTTTTAAAAATTAGCTACGTTTTGGTCGTAGTCATACAATCGTAGCTATTTGGGCACTAGCTGAAATTTTTTGACACTTGCTAACATGTCATGCTGGCTCCGCCACTGGCTGGATTCATCCCTTTATGGGGACATAGGGGGCCCACGGCTACATTATTTTTCTAAAAGCCATTTTATGTGGTTAAAAAAAATTAATAGATATAATTCAGTTAATAACACAGATTAAGTGGCTGAGAAAGAATTTGGATTTCACTCCTATCAAATTTGGATTTAATTTTCACTGAATACAATTTTTTAGGAGTAGCAAAGAGTTTTAATTTTATTTTTTTTGTAGTACAAAGTTTTTATTTTAATTTTTTTCACTACACAAAAGTTCGTTCGTTTTAAATTATAGAATGATCGTGATTTACCTGCCAATTTCATGTACGTAAAACGTGTCACTTATGACATACAAAAGTAAGAATTTTGAACCTCCACAATCTTACTTCATTTTCTCTTCTTCCAAGTTGGTTTTAAAAAGAAAAAAAGTTATGCTTTTATTGTTACTTTTGCATGAATAAATTGTACGACTTCAAAATAACTTGTATATACAAAAATAAAAAGTATGTTAGTAGAAATTAATCTTCAAAAAATAAATCTTGACATTAATTGTTAATATGTGATATTTATATTTTGAGTTGAGTGTTTATTTTCTGTATTTTTTGTTGTTGATATTTCAATCGGTTTATTGTTTGGCAATAAATTTGATTTGGGCGGGTCCAGGGATTAAAGTTTTAAATCTCTTCCAAAGATGATACTGAGAGTATAGAACGTTCTCACTTTCCATATTTCTATAATATTAAAAACTCAATAAATCACTCATTAAAATTGAAAAACACACACGCTTAACTTTACTTTTTTTTAATCCCGACAAGGGAAAGAATCCCCACATACATGAAAAAATAACATACTACTTAACTATAGCACAAAATTGGCTGCATTATTGCAGGCAGCGTCAAACATAGGATTACGTTATATTATAAAGGGTAATTTGTGATTCGTCCTCTATGGTCATGTCAAAAACTGTTAGTTCCGCCGAATAAGTATAAAACGAAAAATAAAAGGAAACATCCTTTTATAAGTTATACTGATAAATTCGCGTCAATATTAAATTTATTTATTTTGTAGAACAATTCAACTGTTGAAAATTTGCAATGATTTGTATATCCCATTATCCTATTCCTATTAATTTGTCTTCTTTTCTTTTATAAAATAAATGACTTTAAGTGTTGGGTCAACAAAAGACAGTTTTCTGAAGGACATCAACAACCCTAGATAATTAAACCTCCTGATGTCGTATCTATGGTTTTAATTAAAGGAATCGTGTAGAAATTGCAGTGCAGACCTATATATAATATTACGGTGGTGAGTGGTGACCAATCAACATTGAGAATCCTCAACCGTGTTCTTATTTTTTTCCGAATATACATACCAACCGAAAGGAACAAACAAATAGATGAAGAAATATGGACTTATCTATATACATTTGCTTTTCTACCTACTGACCATATGTTATTTCTTTCTTTTTCTTTTTTCCGCTAACAATCTTTTCCAATCACAGATCGATCACTATATGTATTGTTTGTGATATTTAAGGAAAGTAAGAAGTATATAATTTGTCCTTTTCTTTTCTTTCTTTTTTTGATTTGTTATGTTTTGATTAGCAAGTTATGGATTGATTATGGTGTACAAACATTGAATTCATGAACCATGTTTATATAGACACTGCAAACGTGCGTTCAGACTACGACAATGCATTAATTTGTTTTTGTACCAAATAGACCTTAATAATTGCACTATAAGAGATTTTGAATATCTGCTCCTTATACATGCTGTGAAATAATATGAGGCATGATTCTTTGATACCGGTATCAAATGTTTTATTTAGTGTCGTTAGATTAAGGCAGATTAACGATATCATATGTTTATAAATCAGAATTATTATATCAAGACAAAATCAACGACTCTCAGATGAAATGTCAAATTTTTTGTGTGACAGTGGTGTCAAAGGATTCTATCCCTATATGTACGAAAATCTTAACCGTTAAAATATACGAAAAATCAACGATTAAAATTTGGTGTAAGAATAATAAATCTTACACCGGTGTAAGATGATCATGCCTATATATATA